ACCAGAACTCAAAACAAAATTAAATTTTTTCTTATCTCTGTTGTTCCAATACATTTTCTGTTTTTGTTTGTTTGTTTTTGCTAAAGAACATCAGACTCATCAGGAACTTCATCAGGAATTTGACAACCTTCTACTTACTTTCAAGGCTAATTCCTTTATGTTCTTACTCTGCACAAAGCTAATCTAATTACTCTTTCTCAGGTCACCTGAGAACAATGACCCAGCTCTCAGATTAGCCCAAGCAGGACACAGGTGACCCAACTATGGGAGGGCAAGGGCTCTGCACTGCAGACGTTCGGGGTGTCAGCCTCAGGAACCCAGCAAAAAAGGTAGAATCAAGTCAAAGAGAAATGACCTAGGCCACAGAATTGTCAACAAATCAGTAAAGAAAGTTTGCTTTACTGCCCCCCCAACATGGAAATATGAAACAGGCAAGACACCGCCACAAAGTGGGCCCAGCCCTGGTTCCACCCTCTTCCGCTCTATCTGGTCTGTTGCTTGCAAGCACTTCAAAAGCTTTTGGCTAAAGTTAGCCTCAATTTAAACGCCCAGAAACAAGTTTACACCAAAGTCTACGTCTCTTGCTGTCTCTGAACATGGAGTCCCATAACCAGAGAGCATGGGTCACCCTCAGGAGCCAATCTTTGCATCACCCTCTCCTCCACTCATCTCTCTACTCCCCTATACCCTTCTACCCTCTTCCTCCAAACTGCTCTGCCTTTTTTTATAGTTGATATACAGTATTTTATTAGATTCAGGGGTACAACATACTGATTTGACAATTCTATACATTACAAAATGCTCACCACAATAAGTGTCGTCTCCATCCGTGTCCATACAACGTTATTACAATGTTATTGACTATATTCCCTGTGCTGTAGTATTCATCTCCGTAGATGGAACTGGAGCTTTGTGTCTCTGAATCCCCTTCATCTGTTTTACCCATCCCCCACCCCCTCCCTTCTGGCAACCCCCAGTTCTCTGTATTTATGAGTCTGTTTCTGTTTTTTTATTTGTTTGTTTATTGGTTTTGTTTTTTTAGATTCCACTTATAAGTGAAACTATATATTTGTCTTTATCTGTCTGACTTATTTCACTTGTCATAATACACTCTAGTCCATCCATGTTGTTGCGAACGGCAAGATCTCATTTTTTTTTCCAGCTGAATAATATTCCATCCTTGTGAGAAAGCAAGCAGGAGAGTAGAGATTGAGAAGGGGATTTGAGAATGACAAGGGGAAGAATAAAAATCTCTCTGTCTCTACTGTCAAGATAGACTCCTGCTTCCAAGGATAAAATTGATATTATTTGGCATACTTTGGGGACTATAGAGGCAAAGCACAGAAATTAAAAATACAAGACAGATTTCCATTTTTAGGGGAAAAAAAGCAAATTACAAGAAAGTTAACCCATATACAGAAAGTATTTTTAAAATATATTTTTGGTCCATCTCCTAAGGAAGGTGTTATTCATCTCTAACTTCTGTACGGTTGGTGACTCAGAACTTCTCTGACAGTGTCATTCTGTTTATGGTGGCTATATGGTGGGCAGAATAACGCCCCTCAAAGTTGTGCGTATCCCGTAACCCCGACCTGTGAGTATGTTCTCTTACTAGCAAAATGGAATGTGCAGATGAAACTAAGGATATTGAGATATGGAGAATAGCCTGGATTATCCAGTTGGACCCAATGTAATCATAAGGGTCCCTATAAGTGAAAGAGGGAGGCAGGAGTCTGTGTCAATGATGCAGCATGAGGATAGCTTGACCATCTATCGCTGGCTTTGAAGTTAAAGGAAAGGTTAAGAGAAACAGGTAGCCTCCAGAAGCTGGAAGAGGTAAGGAGACAGATTTTCCGCTAGAGCTTTCAGAAGGAATACAGCCCTGCTGACACTTGATTGTAGCCCAGTGAAACCCATTCAGACTGATCCCACCACTAGAATTGTAAGAAAATTTTTGTTGTTTTAAGCCACTAAATTTGTGGTGATTTGTTACAGCAGCAGTAGAAAACTAATACAGTGACTGTAAAAATGTTTCCAGAGTACACTCATACCTGTCAGTGCATGTTTTTGTCTTTGAGTTAACATCACCACTGCCACAGCTATCGTAGAATAATCACTAAGAATCTTGATGATGACCTTGAGTCATTACTAGACCCTCAACCATAAGTGAAAGAATAAGCAGTTGTAACCCCAGTAATATTCGTACTTATTCATGGAAGACATATAAGCCCTGCCCCAAATAGACAGTGTGATCAAGCATGAAACAAGAGCCTGGAAAAATTCATGAAATGGTTGTTAATTTTAGATTCCAGCTACACTTGAGCAGCTCAGAGACCACAGATCCCAGATCCCTGGTACACTGGTCATCACTCCTTTCACTCTCCTGTGTCTCCTGTTAAGGACAGCAGGTTTTGTTCTAAGGCAACGGCCTTGAGGGGGAGGGCAGAGGAGAAGGGGATAGATCGAGGGCTTCACAGTGCTCATTCCCAGGGTAGATAGATGCAAAATAATCAGATTTGCTCCATTGTCCAAATTGATAATCCAACAGGCATCTCCTGAAGGTCATTATGCTAAACAGTATCTGTCCCTTGTTCCAGACTGTCTGGAGGAGGAGGAAGAGAGAAGGAAAAGAAAAACCAGCGTATCAGTGGTGAGCTCATACATATTTTAGAATGATTCATTAAATTTTAAAAGGGAATTGGGGTTAACCTTAAAGTAGCTAGAAATTTTATAGAATCAGTACTCCTCATTTTCGGAACTTTCTGATCATCGGTATTTTAGCATATAGCTTGCTGTTTTGTCTTGAAAGCCTTTTTCTTTTAGCTTCTGTAATGTATTGCGCCCCCCCTTCTCCCCACACAGGCACAGAACCAACTGAGAGTCATAGGGATTAGAAAGACAAGTATCAAAATGTCAGCTTTTTTTTTTTTTAAGATTTTATTTATTTATTTGAGAAAGAGAGAATGAGAGACAGAGAGCACGAGAGGGAAGAGGGTCAGAGGGAGAAGCAGACTCCCTGCTGAGCAGGGAGCCCGATGCGGGACTCGATCCTGGGACTCCAGGATCATGACCTGAGCCGAAGGCAGTCGCTTAACCAACTGAGCCACCCAGGCACCCAAAATGTCAGCTTTATTACTGATGAACTTTTGGAGGATAACCTTTATGTGTGGGGCAACAACAGGCTTTCTATTATAGCACCTCTGAATGAAGCAAAATGACCTACTGAGTTAAGGCTGGCTAATGAAAGTGATCCAGCCTCAGGAGCAGAGCTGCCCACAGTCAGATCCCAACAAGAGTCCCAAAGGGGCTGAGATAGGCTTACCCACCTTCCCCCTACCTCACTGATTCCAGGGATGGTTGTCCCAAGGAAGAGGAAGTGAGGGGCCGAGAGAGGCCAGGAGCGCTCTACTAGTAAAAGCTCTTCAGCATGGGTGTGTGAAGAATAGGGAGTGAACGTTCTCCACCTGATAGCTTCTTCTAAATGATCACAAATAAAGCTATGCTGTAATTAAGCTAACTAAGTAATTATATCTAGAGAAATCCTGAAAGCAAAATTAGCAAAAGCTGACTAAGGATCCATCACCGCCAAGCGTGCGTGGAAGCAGCAACCTCCAACTCAGTATGACACACAGTGTGAGGTATGTTGCTTATAATAAATAAAGTACATACATTCACAAATGATGCCTGTTGTCTTTAGAAATTAGAACCCGTTAGAAGTTTTCCCTGTGGGCGCCTGGGTGGCTCAGTTGGTTAAGCGACTGCCTTCGGCTCAGGTCATGATCCTGGAGTCCCGGGATCGAGTCCCATGTCAGGCTCCCTGCTCGGCAGGGAGTCTGCCTCTCCCTCTGACCCTCTTCCCTCTCGTGCTCTCTATTTCTCATTCTCTCTCTCTCAAATAAATAAAATCTTTAAAAAAAAAAAGAAGTTTTCCCTGTAATTACATTTTTCCTACTCACCTTATTTCAGATCTGCTTTCTTGAGTGACAGAAAAAGGGGAGGAATTACACATAGCATCCCAGAAATGACACACAGCTCAGTCTATCTTATCTGTGAAGCCACTCACAGGGAAGGATTTTTCATGATAGCATTAATAGCTATGGCAATGGTGAACTATTGAAATGCCTGGGAGTTGTGATTTTTATAGTTGTTTCTGCTTATTTTTTATTTTATCCAGGGATGAATTTGATTAAGAAGGTAATGGAGATTTTTTTTTGTTTCAGCACAAATATCAACATAACACATGATCGAGAGTGACCCTACACTTCTGGTTAATTATTACAGAAGAACTACAGTATCAGGTAAAAAGCCAACCATGTAATCCAAGAATGGTATTAATACCATTATAAAAACTTAATGCACAGAGTTCACATAAAATAATTTAAATGGTAAAATTGGGCAGTTTTTGTTTTATTCTCCTTCTGTACATTAGTTGCTCATAAGGAGTTGGGGGTTCAGATTCATTTTAAGTAGGATTCATTTATAAATTCATTTTTAAAAGCAGACTAGGTATACATTTATTTTTATTATAAAATAATCACTTCAAGATGTTTAATGGTTTATTGTTCATTTGCTTATAAAATGACCTTACGAAAATTTTATAGACAGAGATTCCCCCATAAAAGGTTTATGGTACTTTTCCCTTTGTGTTCCTGCTACCAACTCCCCAATTTGATGAGATTTGTCCAATTCTGAAAATACCGTATGTTATGCTTGCAAACTGCCAGGAAATAAAGTAGGAAAAATGAACACTTTCATCTGCCCTGAAGCCAACCTCCATCCTTCTACAACACTCTGTCCTCTTCAGAAAGCTTTAGGTTGGCCAAGAACAAGATTTTTCCCTTAACAACAAATCAGTGCTGTTGCTAGGTGATTGTGACATAGGAAGAGTAACCTCCAATCAAAGAGAAGCCCCAAAAGGCTGATTGTGGCATGCCAATATAAATATGAGGGCTCCCCTCACCCCACCTTTAGGCCCTTCTCCTCTCCACTCTGTTAAGGAGAACAACATCTACAATGGCCAGATCCATCACCAAAAAGAACAAGTGCTCCAGAGGACATCAAAGCCCAATCTCCAAAAAGAAATCACATTCCAGCACTGATTTTGGCCATAGAAATTATTCACTCTACGTTAACAGGGTCCTAAAGGAAGTGGTTCCCCAGAGGGGCATATCATCTCGCACCTTGGACATCATGAACACCCTGATCAACGACATCTTTGAGCGCATTTCTATGGAAGCCTGCAGCCTGATGTGTTTCAGAAAACGCTGTACCCTCACCCCTGAAGATATCCAGAAGGCAGTGTACCTGCTGTTGCCTGGGACACTAGCTAAGTATGCAGTGGCTTTTGGAAGTGAAGCTGTCCAAAGATATGTCCACTCCTAAACTCCGTGTACCAGCGTAATTAAATCTTGGGGAAAGTAAATCAAACTTACTACCCAAACGATCACTTCGCACTGGAATTCCCTCTTCTTTTTTATAACATAGCGGTATTTCCTGGTATTTTCCCCTACCCCTCTTATCTCTAGAGGAGAATTACTCTCTTGCTCTTTTACCTTATAGTGCCTTGGTTAGTTAGGTTTTCCTGACCCCTATTCCCTGCAGAAGTCCCACCCAGAACTCCTGTTTTTCCTTTGAGGATGTAAATCTCGTTATATAAATCAAGGCTTATTGTATCATTAACTATGTACAGGATGATTGAAGCTAGCCAGGTCACACTGACCTTGAATTTATGAAGACAAACATTTTAATCGGGAGTATACTTGCACTGATAGATCTTTATCAAGAAAGTACTTTCTGGAGCAAACTCTGTTCAACCAATTTAGTTCCTTAATGAATCTCTTTACAGCATGTTAACAATTTCCTTTGTTTTAATTCTTCTTTCCTGTTTAATTCTTATGTCAATAAGTTCAGTTCATAGCCATGTAAATTTTATCTTTACACATTTGTAACATAATAAGACCAACACCCAGGAACCTACTACTCAATTTATAAACTTTTTTTTTTAAATGTCACGTTTTGTTTACAAAACACTGGAGGTGTTTCCCAGTCCTATTTCCCTATCCACTATCCTAAGTTTCGTTTCTATCCCTTTCCCTTGCTTCTCTGTGTATTTTTTGTGAGTGTCTCTACATAATAAGTTGAATTTTGCTTATTTTGTAACATGGGGGTATACTACCTGTGTTTTTCTGTGCCTGCCTTTTTCTCTTAAAATTGTTTCTAAGATTTATACCTGTTGATATATATAGCTCTAGTTTGTTCTTTTCACTCCTAGGCTGTATAATATTCCGTAGTGTGAACATACCACAGTTTGCTTATCCATCCTCTCTTGATGGACATGTTGTTTGTTTTCAGTTTTTCCTATTAACGAACAATGCTGCTATAATGGTGAGTTCCAACAACAGCTAAGACTGATAGAGCATTTTATATAAGCCCAGCATTTTACGTAAATTAACTTATTGAACCCCTACAACCTTGTGATAATTAAATAATTCTCCCCTCCTACAGATGAGGAAAATGAGGCACAGAGCAATAAGCTACTTGTCTGTGGTCATATGCCCGTGTCAGTGGCAGAGCTGAGATTTGACCAGGTTCACGGCATCCACTGTGGGCACGTATTGTCTGCTGTGAGCATTCTTGGACATCTATCTTCTGGTACAAACACACAAGAATTTCTCTAGTTAAAATGCCTAACCATGGAATTGCTGGGGCATTGATATGCTCATACTCAACTTAGTAGATATTACTGGACTGTCTTCCAAACTGTTTGTACCAATTGACATTTGCAGTAAATGAGAGCATTTTGGATTCTTTTGGTTACGAGGAACATATCACTTACATTTCTTCAAGGAAAGGGGTGTCTTGTATGTAAATAGTAGGATGGGAACTGAGACTATTCTAGGTGTCTCACTCTTAGGATCCGCTCTGTTTCTCCCAGGTTGCTCCCTTCCAGATGCTTCCTTCTGAGAGTTGCCGGCGGGTCCGTCAGATTCCACGTCCATGAATACCACAATACAATTTTACCACAATAAAAAATGGCTTAAAAAAATTTAAGTGGGTATTTTATACCCATGCATTGATATAATCAGACTTGAGAAACTACCTTATTTAAGTTGGGCCCAGACAGAGGTTGCCAGCCATGCTAAAGACTGGCTAACCATGATTGTATAGTTGCCCACAATCGCCATGCTGCCATGGGTTGACCCCAGAAGGACTTCAAAGGTCTACTAGGGGTTAATGAATTACAGCCATTGGGCCAAGTCTGGAAACAGCTCTTTTTTGTATGGTCCCACAAGCTGAGAAGGTTTTTAAATTTTTATAGGGATATTTTAAAAGAAAAAACCAAGAATATTCAACAAGCCTAATGTAACCCACAAAGCCTAAAATATTTATTGTCTGGCTCTTTACAGAAAAAGTGTCCACCCGTGGTCTATACAGTGCTGCCTCTTTCGCAGAGTTTGTGATAAGGCAAGTTTTCTAAGGCTTTTCTTGAGACACACATGTTCTGTATAAAAAGCTTACAAATATGAAAAGTTCATGGTTGGCTTTTCAAATCATGGCAGTTAGGATAGTACCTACAAATGGCACTCAGCAATTAGGGCAGTGGAATAACCCTTCACAAAAACAGTCTTATTATAAATTGAGGTGTTACAGGTGGGTTAAGGAAACTAGAAGGTTCTTTATATGTTATTCTCTCTACTTCTGTTTTTGAAATATTTTAATAGAATTTCAAAATAAGATCAAGATTCTTGGTAAAAAAAAAAAAAAACTTCTCTAGCGTCAGTTTCAAGTCTGATTATATAAATCCATGTATGTAAAACTACCCACATTTTCAAAAAGTTTTAGCCATTTTTTATTGTGGTCAAATCTATATAATATAAAACTTGCCGTTTTAGTCACTTTTTTAAGTGTACAGTCACAGTAAGTCCATTCACATTGTGAGGCGGCCAGCACCACCAGGCATCTTCATCTTCCCAAACTGAAACTTCATAAACATTAAACAATAACTCCACATTCCCCCCTCCCCTGCCCCTTGCAAGTGCCGTTCCACTATCTCTCTCCAAGAATTTGATGACTCTAGGAACTTAGTATAAGTGGAATTCAACAGTATCTGTCCTTTTGTGACTGGCTTCTTTCACTTAGCACAATGTCTCCAAGGTTCATCCATTGAAACACATGTCAGAATTGCCTTTCTTTTAAGGCTGAATAATATTCCAATGTATGTGTTTATCACATTTTGTTTACCCATTCAACCACTGGTAGTCACTTAGGTTGCTTCTCCCTTTTAGCTATTGAAAATAATGCCACTATGAACATGGGTGTTACAAATGTCTCTTCAAGTCCCTGCTTTCAGTTTTTTCAGGTATATCCCCAGAGTTTCAGGTATATCCCCCAGAGTTTGAGGTCTATACCCAGATGTGGAATTACTGGATCATGTGGTAATTCTATTTTTAACTTTTTTGAGAAACCACCATGCCATTTTCCCACAGTGGCTGCTCCATTTTATAGTCTCACCAGCAATGAACAAGAGCTCCAATGTCTCCACATCCTCATCAACATCTGTTATTTTCTGTTTTATATATGTATTATAGGCATCCTAATGGATATAAAGTGGTTTTGATTTTTATTTCCTTAATGATGAGCGATGTTGAGCATCTTTTCATGTGCTCACTGGCCACTTGTACTTTTTCTTTTTTTTTTAAAGGTTTTATTTATTTATTTGAGAGAAGAGCATAGTAGGGGGAGGCGTAGAAGGAGAAGGAGAAGCAGACTCCCCACTGATCAGGGAGCCCAACATAGGGCTCCATCCTAGGACCCTGGGATAATGACCTGAGCCAAAGGCAGATGCTTAACCAACTGAGCCACCCAGGTGCCCTGTACTTTTTCTTTACATAAATGTCTTTTGCTCATTTTTAAATTGGCTTTTGCTGTTGTTGAGCTGAAGGAGTTCTTTATATATTCCGGATATTAATCCCTTCCCAGATATATGATTTGTAAATATGCCACTTAATATTTTTTTAATTTTTTTATTGTTATGTTAATCACCATACATTACATCATTAGTTTTGGATGTAGTGTTC